ATGTGTTATTTTCAAGAGAATTACGTTTAGTAAATATTTTTTTAAATATTGATTGATTTTTCTTGCTTTGTTTTAATTTAGATTTTATATTTTTTTTATTACAGAATCATCGTAGCGACGTTGTAGATATAACTCCACTGCGCATCAAATTGGTAAGTGATGAATTAATGTTTTTATTGAGATAACGGATGTGGTAATTTTATTAATATACTATGTATCTAGATGCATATATGAATTAATTTAATAAAAATATACTTGTATATTCTTTATAAATATAACATTCCATGCATCTGTTGCCTTAAAATGGATAAGTTAGAACAGATTAGGATAAATTTAATTCTGGATCAAATATTTATTCAGGATTAAATTTTATATAAGTTGGTGCGAAAATATATATGCATACACATATATGTATATTATATATTGTTTTCTATGATATATTCCTTGTATCGTTTTATACTTATCTGTACACGCTTATGTGTATACATTACTAATGAAATAACAAATATTTTTATATAGTGCTTTTGTTGTACAATTTATTAATCTCGCTCTTTTATAAAAAACATTTTATGTTTATGATTGTTAATTTTTGCTATTTATCTCAATGCACTACCTAAGATTTTATAACTTATCCATTCGTAGTAACTGGATTTTATACCAGTTAAAATAGTAACATGATGTAAGATCCAATATATATTTTATCAAGAAATAGAAGAATTTTATCTCATAATTATTTTAAAATTGCAAAGTATTGAGTCACTTAAAATATTTATATTAACTTTGAAATAATAAATTATACAAAAAAATGATTCTAATAATTTATAAAATACAAAGAGATATGTTTGTTGATGCAGAAAAATATCAATCTTCTGTTAAGAAAAGTGGTTACTCAATTTATTCTTTCTTTTAAGTAACGATTATTTTTAACAAAGAATATTTTCTTGATAATAATCTTAAAATATACTTATTACAAAATTTTAGAAAAACTTATTATTTACACTCAAAACAAGAATTTATTTTCTTTTGAAGAATATTATAAAATTGATCGAAAAAACGAACTTTTTATAATAAGCAAGTCAAATTTGTTTTAATTTAATAAATTTGATTGAAGTATTAATTTTTTTTTTTACTAGGATTCAGAATATATTTTCAGTTTTGTATAAATTTAATGCTTCTGATGAACGTATGATAGATTTGTGGATACATGAACTTTTGAAATGAATTATTACTTGCACAGTGTAATTATTACTTGCGTATTTTTCTATGTGTATAAAGGAATTATTCTTTTCTTGCATCATTCATCTGAATTTCTCATCTCTGCTTTGAGATGAAATTCAGCAACGAACCGTTTGAATTCTTAAAAATACGTATATGGTCCTTGAATTTGGATGGTAATCGATTTAATAATTTTCAATTCTTTTTTCAATTCAAGTTTTGTCCTTTATATAGTGATGTTTATATTGAAAAATTTAATCTAGTTAATATCGGGACTTTTGAAATAATGTTATTGACTTAAATTTTAAAACTTTATGATTTATAAGCGCAAGTGTACTCGCATATTACATTAAGTTGATTTATTTTTGTGTGTTATACAATAACGATATGAGATATTTTTATAGCTCTTCTATACAAATTTCGATTAAAATTTTTTGCCTATGTATTTAAAATAATTATTCTGTGCGATCACGTAAAACTAAAATAATTAATCCATTTAAATTAATTATTATATTAATTATTATATACTTAAAACCGGTATACTCTGTTGATTGTTTGTTGAATGTTGTATGATTCTTCTAATAATACAATTTATTGATAATAAAGAGTATTTAAAATAACTATATTGAAAGAAAAATAAATAATTAATGATAATTGAGTAAAAAAAATATAATTTCTTAGATAGCAAACTGACGTTATTTAACATCATGTCGAATAAAATGTCATTAAAGATGTCATTTTAAGACTAAAACAATAATGTCAATTTATTATATAGATTTCATTAAAGCTACTACTATATATAATATAGTAGTCATTTCCAATTATGATCGAAAGTGCTTTTTTAAGTCTCCTGAGTGCGGTTGTATTGAATCATGATGTCATAAGTGAGACACGACTTTTACTTTAATTTTTGTTACATGTCATTTATCACTGACGATCAAGAGGGATAAGAATAGTCGACCCATCTTTAAATGTTTTAAAACGATCTTATTATTTCGTTTTATCTAAATTATCTTTATTTACAAATAACATGTAAAAAAAATTAACGTATCATTTTTTGTTCATGGCATAGCGATTCAGTATAACTGCGACGATTGTACTCTTGTGAGAAATCTTGTTTGTTATATTTTAAAGCAATCTTTTGTGTACTTACATGTATTGTATTTTGTCTTATAGATATATTGTATAGCGTATTAAAGTTTAGATTTGATTGTAAGATGGAATTTTATTTGTAATTTTACACGTGATGTGTGTGTGTGTGTGTGTGTGTGTGTGTGTGTGTGTGTGTGTGTGTGTGTATTTCAATATATATTTTATAGATATATATATGCAGTTTGATTTTTCAAATGTTACAATTTTTCACAGTTGTGTTAGTATACTTTTTTATTTAATTACCTTACAAGTAATTATTATACTAAAAAGAAATAACGCGAATAACAATAAAAAGCGATGCTATTATCTATTTAAAAATCTTATTCATAGGCACGCGGGTAAAAATATTATTGGTGATTTTAATGAAGACCAAACCGAAAGTTTCTTCATAAGGTGTTTCAAGCTCCTTAAAAATTAAATCCGAATTCTGATTGAGGAATTTATGCATTTGTTCACCTGTAATCAATGAGATATGGAAACATTAATACAAGAATATATTAAACAAATACGTTCATCTTTTTAAAATGTCACGGTATAAATTAATAGTAATTAAGACACTAAGAAATTAATATATTTTTTAAATATACAGCTTAAAAACACATTCGTATCTTTTTATATTCATATTTTTTTCTTGTACTTTAAAATTAAAAGTTAAAAAATAAATACGGTTATTGACTTTATACAAAAATATTGGTACACTTATATAAAATCTATGATGTATTATACATTATAAATCTATAATAATTTGTTTTTATGTATTTGCAACAAAATAATATCAATTATGTTACTGAGATATTGATTAAATAAAATTTAATACCTAAAATGGAATCTCCATTAAAAAGATTATCGAATTGTAGAGTTACGTGATCAGGTAAAAACTTGACAATATACTTCGTCGCTCTCATATAAATATCTCCATCTTTTTCAAACTTTTCATAATGCGTTTCGTGTTTCGTCCTTAAATCATCTAAAATAAAATCGGCTTAGCAAAAAAATGTACTGTTAAAGTTGTTTGTAGATGATCTATAATTTGGAACAAAATTTAAGATAAAATCTATTATATCATATGTGTCATTGTAAGAAAAAGTTTTAATCTATCTAGGTTTAAATTGTAAATAATAATGCAATACTGCATGCAATTACGAAAATACATTATAATATTTACGCATAGATATGTTGCATTTGCCCTCTCCTCGGATTGGTAGTAATAGAATCTTGCCTTCGAGTTTGTAATCGGCAATAAAGTCCACCTGAGTATTAAAAGACTCGGATCTAAATATTAAATTGTCCCAGTCTATTCTAAAGAAAATAATAATTAATATATTGATTGTTAATACTAATTATATAATCTGTTATCTTGAAATTATATATATATA